TCGCTGGGTGTAGTGGCTCAAGCCTGTAATCCCTGCACTTTAGGAAGCTGAGACGAGAGGATTGCCTGAGCTCAGGAGTTTGAGACCAGCCTGGGCAACTTGATGAGACCTCATCTCTACAATAAATCAAAAAAATAAGCTGGGTGTGGTAGTACGCACGTGTAGTTCTAGCTACTTGAAAGGCTGAAGCAGAAGGATCATCTGAACCCAGCAGGTCAAGGCTGTGGTGGCCATGAGCATGCTACTGCACTCTAAGCCTGGGCAACAGAGTGAGTCTATGACTCAAAAAAAAAAAAAAAAAAACAACTTGATGGTAAAAACGGTGACTCTTCAAAAGGACTAAGGGAATAATAACCAGATAAATAAAAAACTGGGGATTTAAAACTAGAAAGGTGAAAATGAGAGCGAACTCAACAAATAAATGGAAATTGGGATATTGTCACCAAGAATATTCAGGGAAAATTCTAGAATCTTGACGTAATGAACAGAAACTTGCCACACTATCAGAATGAGTCTTCATTCACTATAAGCAACAGAGGGATTCAAGCAGTAACAATTTTCTCTCCAGTTTTTCTAGCTTTAAAAGCAACCGACAAGCTGAGCTCGGTGGCTCAGCTTGTAATCCCACGCCTTTGGGAGGCTGAGGTGAGTGGATTGCCTGAGCCCGCGGGTTCAAGACCCGCTTGGGAAACTTGGCGAGACCTCATCTCTACAATAAATCAAAAAATTAGCCGGGCATGGTAGTGTGCACCTGTAGTTCCAGCTACTTAGAAGGCTGAGGCGGAAGGATCGCTGGAGCCCAACAGGTCGAGGCTGCATGGCTGGGAGCAGCACTCCAGTCTGGGCAATGGAGTGAGACTCCAATTCAAAAAAAAAAAAAAAAAAAAAAGCAACCGACACTTTCAGTACCCCACTGGCATCCCTTGGCCCTTACAAGCAACGTGACTTCGGGAGGCCAGCATCTGCATGCCTCTGACTGTGGGCTTTCTCTAGCCCCTGGAACCTGCTCTGGTCATGTGGGTCACAGGCCAGAAGTGCCAGGGAATTAAACCAAGCAGCCCTTAACCATTCACTGGCAGGAGCTGGTGGATAAGCACCCCAGCAACCTTGCCATTCTGATAGAATAACTTAGAATAACTCTGCACTACCTCCCAGTGCTCTCTAGAGAGAATAAACTTCAGCTGCCCCTACTCCCCACAATAAATTGCTTAGTAACAAAAAAACAAAAAAAACTGTCGCTAGCCTTCTGATGTTTTGGGGGAGATTTTAAAAAATATTTTAGGTAGCATTCTTCCCTAGGAGGAAGGTCTATCCTAACATCTAGCCAGCCATATTACGAAATGGAGGTCAAACTTTGCACAGTTTCCCAAGTTTATTTAAAATTGTCTATAAAAATAATGTATCCATCATTTACCAAATGTAACACTGAGAGTATAGGGCTACTCAACTTCCCAGTAGATTACTTACCTTTGAACATCACAGGATTAAGTGCTCTAATTGACAGTAATCATAAAATTGTACTATCAAATCTTCCATGCAAGAAATTACTTGGAGCAATGACCTGCATCCCTCATTTTATAATACCACAGTACCATAAAATTCTCAAACAAAATTAATGTTTTTTACTTGAAATAAGTAAATGTAGTAATTTCAAGTAAGCAAGATAAGGTGACATAAAAACATGGCTTTTAAATAAAATTGAAACTCAAAAAGACCAAGAACCACTGGTAGAGTTACACTGGCTAGTTAAAATAATCAAGCAGCAATTATCACCTTTTGGGCTAGTTACTAATATACTTACTTTGTTTTAAGTTGTATTGTTCTTTTCCTGTGATATACCAAAGCTGTGGGCTCTGCTGCGAAGACTTTAAGTTTTCCATGAAGACAAAACGCAGTTCTTTGGTCTTTCTTTATTGTCTCAATAAAGTCGTCATATTCTTTTTTGATTGAAGTAAGAACGGATTTGTATGTAGTGACATACTCTATTACCTGAAATATGATTTTTCTGCCTATGGTACTAAATTTTTTTTTCTACAAGACTATGGATCAAAATCCTTGCAAATAGCATTATAATTTTTTTAATGAAACATAAGGCACTTAGAAATCTAAAGTTTGTACAGCAAGTTCAAGCATGAATGGACACTAAAGACAACTCATATTTACTGAACATGTGATCTTTGTGGATCATTACAGTAGATTCTGTAAGCTTAAATATGAAATTACAAGATCATATTTGTGTTTTACTTGGTATGAATACATACATTATATGATATCAGTTAAAACTAATGCCAATTTTATTTCCCAATTCTGGATATCTTAAATATAGTTACATATCTTCTCTTACCACCTCCAAATCTTGTCTTTGACTTCATTTAAACCTTAAAGTCCTGGATTCCTTTCACTTCCCTACTTAACTAACCTCTGGATGATCAATACTCTCAATTCCTATAATTTATATTCCAAAGCTGCCAAGTACAACTGTAAAAAAAGCTCTCACCACTAGTATATTCATGTTTCCAATGGTGTTTAAGCACAGAATATCTCTCGGAAGATGACAAAAGCAAATAGAAAGAGCAGGTGCTTACAGAGAAGGAATGGAGAAGCAGGGTTTGAGATAAGGAGAGCTGAACATTCCATTGTATAGTCTCGTTAATTGGTTTATTTATTCATTTATTTTTGGATATCCTTGTGCATGCATTACTCAAGCAAAAACGAATCAATAAGAAACAGTTTAGGGGCAACCCCCTTGGGTCCCCTCCCACTGTGAGAGCTTTTCTGTCCTCTCAATAAATTCTGCTTTCTAAAAAAAAAGAAAAAGAAACAAAGAAAAGAAACAGCATTGACTGGACGCAGTGGTTCATGCCTGTAATCCCAGGCAGAGGCCAGAAGTTTGAGACCAGACTGGGTAACATATAGAAACTCCATCTCTACAAAAAATTTAAAAACTAGCAGTGGTGCACACCTGTAGCACCAGCAACTCGGGAGGCAGAGGCAGAAGGATTGCTTGAGGCCAGGAGTTTGAGGCTGCAGTGAACTATGATTGCATCCACTGTACTCCAGCCTGGATGACGGAGAGAGACCCTGTCTCAAAAAAAGAAACAAATAAAAATTTTAAGTAAGTTAAAAAAAAAAAAAGTTGTAAACAACATATGGATATCAAAATCTGCTCATGAGGAGAACAGACAGAATCAATCCATAATTTTCTCTGAAAGTTGCAATTATGCTTTCTATTTCTGCTATATCTCTAGCCTCTGGAATACCCTACTATTTTTGTTTGTTTGTTTGTTTGTTTTTTACCTAGACAATATTAGAGTTATCCAGGAAGATATCTGGTCTATCAAGAAATAAGGCAATCACTGATCATTGCCAGGTACCAGGAGAGGATATTTGAATGGGAGACTGCTTGTCTTTTTGACATGACCATGCCACGTATCCACCTAAATCAGGAACCTTTAATAAAATAAAGGTCTTCAAAAATAAAAAATAATAAAGGTCATCAGCCTGTGGCCTTCCAAGGTAAGTACTCGGTTGCACCTGGCCATCTTGAACTTCACATACCCCTTTGATGTTTTCCAACAACCCAAGACAACTCAGGTACATTAATGGGTAGATATACCATGTAGTGTACCGTGATCAGCTCCTAAGTCTGTCTGTTAGAAGAAACAGATTATAGAATACCGATGGGAACCTTTGAGAATACAGAAAATACACTAGAGGATGTAAACAGGCATGCCACACATAGAATACAGCCTGTAATTTTGCTTAATCCACAAAACAGTTAAAAATTTAGGAAATTTCACGTAAAACCATATTTTCAGCTTCTACTGAAAACTCTGAAAATCTGCCAACATGGAACTCTCATTCCTTGATGGCAATGTTAGCTGGAGCTTTGGATTGAGTTGGTTCTTCATTTTACCACAATCCTCACCATTCCTTATTCTCTTATAGAAAGCACAATTAATTCTTTTGAATTAGCTTCCTGGCCTCTGCAGGCACTGAAGTGTGAGCCTGTGATAAGGCTGCCACTAAATCCAAAAAAAACCATAGCTAAACTTACCAGGCACAGGGGTCTGAGGGAGAAGAGGAATAGTATTTATTCCATCTCAGCTCCCATATATGGATCTCAACTATTTGTACAACATGCTATAGGAACACAAGTCAGGCCACTTTCCAGGGTTCAGTTGCCTCTGTAAGTCACCCATTTCTACAGAAGCTCACTCTTCCTAGCTTTAGTTTCCTTGCTTACTGGGTTGTTGGCTCACTTTACAATCTACTCCCTCACCCTTCAATTCTTGCTATGAGTCTCAGATCTTCCTTGCTTTGACTCAAGTATGATTCTTCAGGTCAAAACATCTATCTTTGATTTTAAACACAATTTTGTATTTGTTCTTTGATTCCAAATACTCAGAGATGCAAGCTGACACTTTTATCATTTGCTCAACTGGATCCTTCCAAGAGGGTGGGCAGATCAGAGAAGATAGTCATTAGTAGTTCCTTAATTATCAAATTTGGGGCCAGGCGTGAAGGCTCATGCATATAATCCCAGCACTTTGGGATGCCAAGGAGGGAGGATTGCTTGATAACTGCCTGAGCAACAAAGCAAGTCCTTGTCTCTACAAAAAAGAAAAAAAATTAGCTGGGCATGGTGGCGCATGCCTATGGTTCCAGCTACTTGGGATGCTGAGGCAGAAGGACTGCTTAAGCCCAGGAGTTCAAGGCTGCAATAGACCAGAATCGCATCACAGCATTCCTGCCCAGATGACAGAGTGAGACAACTCAAAAAGAAACAAATGTGCTAAAATAGAAAATGAAAAAGGTATATTATCTGTTATTATGAAGCTAGAAGAAAAGTTTCTCAAAGTACCTAATGACTTCCATTTCAGAGTCCCTCTCAGTCCTGAAAAACAGAATCTCTTACAAAGGACAATTTACAATTATGTGATGTATAAATTATCCAAATGGAAATCATGGGGGGGTGAGGTCAAAAGGAACAAGGACTACAGATGTGGATATTATTTTTTTATTTAACCCCCTGTGTTTTCTCTAAGAATTAAATTTACCAATACCACCTACAAAATGACTTCACTATAACTATACTAATATAGAGCAGACTGCTCTTCATGTGAGAATAATTCTGATATGTGTTAGCATTTGGGCATGCAAGGATAAGCACATCATCGTTATAACTTTCCTTTGCTGATTTTCACAGGTAGAGTCTCCGCATAGCTCTTGATTTTAGGAAACCTATCCAAACACTACTTTTATTTAAACATTCATTCAATACATTTCTTAATAAAGCACCAAGAACTATATAATTGATCAAAACCACATATAAAATGAAGCTAACCCACCAATAGGCCAATTCTAAAAGATTTTCTGGATGATTTACAAGGAAGAAAAGACTATTTCTCTACTTTTTACTCTTATAGATATGTATCCGTTTTTTTATTACATTGAAGTATATAGGGCTATCTTGTGCTTACTTTACCTTAGAGTGAGGCACAAGGTTCTTATTAAGAGGAGAAATAAGACTCATAGCATATAATATTTAAAAATTAAAGAAAAGCCTGACTGGGCACAGGGGTCCAGCACTTTGGGAGGTTGAGGCAAGAGGATTGCTCGAGTCCAGGAGTTTGAGACCAGCCCTGGCAACATAGCGAAACCTTGTCTATATAAAAAAGCAAAAGATTAGCCAGGCATAGCGGCACCCACCTATAGTACCAGCTACTCAGGAGGCTGAGGCAAAAGTGTTGGCTGAGTATGCCACTGCACTCCAGACTGGGCCACAAAGGAGACCCTGACTCTAAAAACAAACAAAAAAACTCATATTCTACTCTTAAGTTAAAATAACTGAAACACGCATTAACAGTCAGATATTATATATCAAGAACTGTATTTTCCCCACTCTGTACTTTCTGACAAATTGGACTGAACTTCTCAAAATTGACAAACGGAATGATCAATGATCAAATTTAACAGCGGTGTTACTAAGGACAGAATATTCATTGTCAGATAGATCATTTCTACCTTCATGAAAACTTCATTGTCTTAAGAGCAGTATGGTACCTTATCAAAAACGTTTCGGTATATGATGTAATATTCATCGGCAGGTCCTTCCTCACTGCAGCCCAGCCTTTCCGTTTCTGTCATTATGTATCTTTGCATACTTTCCAAAAATTCCTTGTCACCTCTACAGATGATAGGAGGGAGAACTGCATGTTTATTTATTTCTTGGACTGACATAGGTCACAATCTGCACACTTGTTCACCAGAGAGAAGTTAAATCCTGACTTGCTTTTGCAACAAAGCCAAGATTTTGATAAGCCTGAAAGAAAAAAAAAGACTATCAATTAATCTAAAGACTTAAACAAGTTAAGTCAAATAATTGACCAAAAAAGTATATACTTGTTTCATAAAATAAAATAAAATAAAAAATTCCCATGGTTCTATCTCTGAGATAAACATTTCAACCTATGGATTAAAAGGTCTATGCTATTCTACTGGTGGTTTCTTATGTATAACTCATACTTCGTAATAGAAGGTGTAGTATTTGTTTCATGTGGGAAAACTTGATGATACAAACAAGGTCTAATACTTCCCTACCCCAGTGCCTACCTGACCTAGTCATAGTCATCCAGCACATAATACTATAATTAATTTATTTACCTGTTTTTATGATAAACTTTATTATAATCCTCATCTTTAATATGAAAGTACTAACCAAAAAGTAAGAGGTCAGGCTTCTGCTAGCATCCATCAATGATGTCAAGGATAGCTACCTTTTGGAGAACAGTTTTCAAGCAGCTGCATTACACTGCTTTTAGCAAACAATCACCATCCAGCTGAAACTGGATACAGAAGTTGGTACCTAAGATCATCTCAAATTAAAATTAAACAGAACCCTTGGCTTGCTTAAAATGTCTGGCAAGGCAAAACATTTTAACTTTTCCCCACAATTACAGAATTATATACCAAAGGAAATTAATGAAAAAAATAATATCATCCAGAATTCTGCCACCTAAAGATAATTACTATTAATATTTTGGAGTATTCCCTTCCAATCTTTATAATTATAAAAATTGGGATCAAATTCTATATTCGGTTATGCATTTTAATTTTTTTCACTTAATATTAAAAGCACTTTTTCATGTAATTAAATAGTTTTCAGAAACATGACTTCTAAAGACTTCTAAAGTATTTCATAACACAGTATTCTATTAACTTCTTTAACCATTTCTCCACTGTTGAACATTTTCACTATTATAAATATGTAGTGATAAATGTCTAAATTAATTTTACCAAGTTTTAGCACTAGAACTGATGATCTGTTTATCTGAAAGAACATATATAGCCTGTAAACTTTCTATAGACCAAATACAGAAAGGGAGACACCAAATAATTCTGAAATCTAAAAGACTAAATTTATCTTCATATTGATAAATTAGATTTAAAAATTCAAATTATAAATGAATGTAAAGTAATTTCAGCAAGGTAATAAGCCATAATGAATGAACAGTTTTCCTAAATGAGAAATCAATTGATTTATTCATTCAACCAGTATTTTCTGAGTGTCTACTAAGTACCAGGCAGTGTTTCACAGCTAGGAATTCAGCAATAAATAAGATAAAGTTCCTGGCTCCTTAGAGCTTACAATCTAGTAGGGGAGACAGACTAGAAATAATGTAATTCCAAATAGTAAAAGATGAGAGAAGGAAGAAATGGGTGTGATCACTGGGGAGTGGGTGGTCCCATCTGAACACTGGTGGCTTCCTACACTTAGGATAAAATCTGAGTTCCTTTACTTGGCCTAACCATGTCCTTTAGGAACCAATGAACTTTTTTCTGACCTAGTCTACCCTCTTCGCATGCCTGTCCTTCCCCCGACCCCTACCCCATGAACTTGCTCTCTTACCATGGGATCTTGCATGAGTCTCTCCCCCTCCCTGCAGACCTCCTCCTCTCCCCACTCCCTCCACACGAAGACACACCACCACTTGCGTTCACTTGGCTTTCATTCTTCCTTCAGATCCCAGCCTATATGCATTCAGGAAGGCTGCCCTGGATTCCGTTAAACTCGGTCAGGTGACACTGCTGTTTCCCACAGAACCATACACTTCCTCTATCATCCTATCATCGTTCAGTGACACTGCATGACAGACTTCTGGTCTAGATTCTCCATCTTCCCTGTTTGGCTATAAGCTTTACAAGATTAGAGACCAAAATGCTCTCATTCTCCATTATTCCTCCCTTACCATATGCATTCCAGTGCATAATACAGCTCTAGCAGAGTGGGTATTCAAACAAATATTTGCTAAATAATCAATAATCATGAACAATCATCTGGTCTGCTCTCAGAAAACATCTGAGTCGTGGTGCACTCAAACCGGAACACAGCTCAAGTGATTGTTCCTTAGCAGTTTCGTAATGCTGTTGAGTTATATAAACCAGCTAAGATTACCACTCATTCATTCATAGTAGACATTTAGGGATGTAATGAAAGCAAGCTCCCAGTCAATTCTATTGGGTCTTGGAAATGAACCACTGCTACACAGCGGAGAAGGCAGTGTGCCAGAACTTTATGATCACCCTTGACTGCTCTTTCGTCTCACTAGCTTGTGAGAAAAGGCAGGGAAATGTTAGGGAAAACATCTAGTGAAGTGATGTTTAGTGTAATGCTTCAGTTTGAAGTACTGCATTTATTTATTCAATAAATATTTTAGGGTTATCTAAGAAAGTCCCTAACCTCATAGAGATTAGTTTCAAGTAGAGACAGACAACACACAAGCAAAAAAATACAGTATGACAGATGGGGGTTAAAGCTGTCTGAAGAAAAATAAAACAGGGTATGGGAAACAGAGAGTAAGGGAGGAGGCGGGCGGGTGCTATTCTTTAGAAGGCAGGAAGTCAGGAAAGAGGAAGACCCTCACTGATAAGGTGACATTTCAGAAATCTGAAAAAAGCAGGTCATGGAGATTTCTGGGAGAAGAGTAGTTGAAGCAAAGACAGCAACAAGTCCTAAAGTGGGACAGCAAGATGCCCGTGGGGCTAGAAGACAATGAGAAAGGGAGAGAAGAGAGACGCTCAGAGAAATATCCAGGTCAAGTAGGTGGCAGGACCACTACTGGCCCTTTGTGCAGCTTAGTAAAAGGCGCCTCAGGCCTGGCGCAGTGGCTCACGCCTATAATCCGAACACTTTAGGAGGCTGAGGTGAGAGGACTGCCTGAGCTCAGGGGTTCGAGACCAGCCTGGGCAACTTGGCAAGACCTCATCTCTACAATAAATCAAGAAAAATTAGCCCAGCGTGATGGTGTTTGACTGAAGTTCCAGCTACTTGGAAGGCTGAGGTGGAAGGATCGCCTGAGCCCAGCAGGTAGAGGCTGCAGTGGCTGTGAGTGTGCCACTGCACTCCAGTCTGGGTGACAGAGACTCTAACTCAAAAAAAAAAAGGAAAAAGAAAAACACACCTCATCCTTTAGGCAGACTTGGCATGAGGAGCAATGAACTGGATTTTGGACTTCACTTGCTCCAGAGCTGGAGCAATAGCCTCCAAATTTAGGCTTTATTGCTCTAAGTGACATGAGAAGCCATTGGAGGGCTGTGTGCAGAAGAGTGACTTCACTTTAAAGAATCGCTCCTGCAGCTCTGTCAAGAATGGATGATAGGAGACAGGGATCAGAGCTGAAAGTACTGCTAAGAGGTGATTGCAGCAGGGCTAGGTGGCTCAGCCTGTAATCCCAGCGCTTTGGAAGGCCTAGAGAGAATTGCCTGAGCCCACGGGTTCGAGACCAGCCTGGGCAACTTGGCGAGACCTCATCTCTACAATAAATCTAAAAATCAGCCGGGCGTGGTAGCGCATGCCTGCAGTTCCAGCTACTTGGAAGGCTGAGGTGGAAGGATCGCCGGAGCCCAGCAGGTCAAAGCTGCAGTGACCGGGAGCAGCCATTGCACTCCAGTCTGGGTGACAGAGTAAGACTCCAACTAAAAAAAATAAAAAAAGAGGTGACTGCAATAACCCAGGCATAAGACGATGGTGACTTGAATCAGAGTGCTGACAAAGGAGCTAGGGAGTAGTGTTCTAGGTATATGTTTATTGAAAACAAAGCCAAGATTTGCCGGGGGATTAGATGTGGGGTATGAAAGAGTAGTCAAGGATGGATCATAAAGTTTCTGGCCTCAGTGACTGGAAAAAATGGGAACTATCAAATATGGAGATGGGAAGAGCAATTTCCTAGGATGAGGAGTTTGGGGCTTGCCCATTAGAGATACTGGGCTGGATATGTGAATGCGAAGCTGAGGTAAGTGTTCTAAGTGGCAGATACATTTATGAGTCATCTGCATATAAATGGTATTTAAAAGTCATTAGATGAAATGAGATAACCAGGAAAATATAAACAAAGCAGAGGTCCATGGACTGGGCCTTGGGAGCATGCCCCCGTTAGAGGTTTGGCAGGTCATGAGGAAGCAGCAAAAGAGCCTGGAAAAAAGCATCCGGGGTAATAGAAATGAAAGAGGTATCCTGGAAGCCAGATAAAGAAAGCATTTCAGGCCAGGCATGGTGGCTCACATCTGTAATCCCAGCCCTTTCTGAGGTAGAGTGAGAGGACTACCTGAGCCCACGGGTTCAAGAACAGCCTGAGTATCTTGGTGAGACCTCGTCTCTAAAATAAATTTTTAAAAAATTAGCCCGGCGTGGCAGTGCACGCCTGTAGTTCCGACTACTTGGAAGGCAGAGGCGGAAGGATCACCAGAGCCCAGCAGGTCAACACTGAGGTGGCTGTGAGTGTGCACTGCACTCCAGCTTGGGCGACGGAGTGAGACTCCACCTCAAAAAAGAAAAAAAAAATTATCCAGGCATGATGGCACATGTCTGTGGTTCCAGTTATTTGGAAGGCTGAGGTGGAAGGATTTCCCAGAGACCAGCAGATTGAGGCTGTGGTAGCTGTGAGCGTGCCAATGCATTCCAGACTGGGTGACAGAGTGAGACTCCGCAGCTGACAGATCAAATAAGATAAAACGATCATTGAATAGAGCAACTTGGAGGTCACTACTGATCATTTTCAAGAGTTATTCTACTGAAACGGTGGGGACAAGAGTTTGACAGGAGTGGGTTCGTTCAATGGAAGGGGAAGATTGGAGACAATGAGTATAAGCAACTCTTTAAGAAGTTTTGTTGTAAAGGTAGAGAATAGTGGTAGCCTAGAGGGTGAAGAATGTTCTGGAAGAGGGAATGAATGGATTCTTCAGATGTGCCAAGGCATAAGAGAATAACTCAGGAACTTCAATTAGCTCAATGTCATTAAAATGTAAATTGAGTGATGCATTTAGTAGATTAGGCTGTAAGGAAGGCAGAGGCTGAATGTTATTCAGAGGAATTTGAATTTTATCCTGGTTAATATTGGAAGTAGAAAAATGACACAATCATTTTTTATTTTTATAATGAATATTCTGGAGCCAGGAGTGAAGGTGGGTTTGAAAGGGGGAAAGACTGGAGACAGGTAAGGAGTGACTGACACTAAACCCCTCCAGTAGAAAGTTAAGGTCTGCCAGGTGCAATGGCTCAAGCCTGTAATCCCAGCACTTTGGGAGATCAAGGTGAGAGGATTGTCGGAGCTCAGGGGTTTGAAACCAGCCTCAACAACTAGATGAGACCTCATCTCTACTATAAATTAAAAAATAAGCCGGGCATGGTAGCGTGCCCCTGTATTTCCAGCTACTTGGAAGGCTGAGATGGAAAGAGTGCCACTGCACTCCAGCCTGGGCAACAAAGTGAGACTCTGACTCAAAAAAAAACAAAAAAAGAAAGAAAAATAAGGCCTGAATTTGGAGATGGGGATGGGGATGTGGAAGGGAGAGGATGGAGAGATAAACAGAAAACATATTAAAAGAGTGCATTAGAAAGGACTGTTTTGTGGCATAGAGAAAGAACAGGGTAAGAATGCAACTTGTTTCTAACTGGCCTGCCTTGCCTGGAGAGCACCCTACACATACTCCAAAAACTTCCTCTCAAGGTCTTTAACAATGCTCCCAATGTTCAAACGTGGAAATTCTACAACTTGGCCAGGTGCAGTGACTCATGCTGGTAATCCCATCCCTTTAGGAGGGTCAGATGGGAGGATTGCATGAGGCTAAAAGTCTGTGACCAGCCTAGGCAACAGAGCAGGTCCCAATATCTACTCTCTCCACCCCCCAAAATTAAATCAATCAGGTATAATGGCACGTACCTGTAGTCCCAGCTACTTGGGAGAATCACGTGAGCCCAGGAGGTCAAGACTGTGGTGAGCTATAATGGCGGCAATGCAGTCCAGCCTGAGCGACAGAGCGAGACCCTGTCTCTTTATTTTATTTTATTTTTTGAGTCAGGGTCTCGCTCTGTCGCCCAGGCCGGAGTGCAGTGGCACGCACACGGTCACCCCAGGGTCAATCCGCTGGGCTCAGGCGATCCTTCCGCCTCAGCCTTCCAAGTAGCCGGAGCTACAGGAGCATGCTAACACGCTCGGCTAATTTTTTAATTTATTGTAGAGACAAGTCTCACCAAGTTGCCCAGGCTGGTCTCGAACCCCTGGGCTCAGGCAATTCTCTTGCCTCGGCCTCCTAAATTGCTGGGATTACAGGCTTGAGCTACCGCGCCCGGCCGACTCTGTCTCTTTTTAAAAAGAAGGTGTCACTCTGTCGCCCAAGCTAGAGTGCATGATCACAGTTCACCACAGCCTCGACCTCCTGGGTTCAAGCGATCTTCTTGCCTCTGCCTTCCAAGTAGCTGGGACTACAGGTGCATGCCACCACGCCCGGCCAATTTTTCTATTTCTTGTAGAGAACTGGGGAGGTGAGGGAGGGGTGTAGAAGGGGGCGGGGGTCTTGCTTTGTGTCCCAGGCTGGTCTCCATTCCTGGCCTCAAGAGGTCCACCTGCCTCAGCCTCCCAAAGTGTCGGAACAACCGGCGTGAGCCACCGCACCCAGCTTTAAAAAAAAAAAAAAATTTTTTTTTTAAAGGAAAATTATACAACTTCTGCAGGTTTCTTTTCCGTATGGCTTCATTTTAAAATTTGAAAACTGCTGTGACTTTCAACCTATGAAGCCATTTTATAGGCTAGGAGAAGCTTGGGCGTTGCCGGCGGGGAGGGACTTCGGGCGAGAAAAGGCTGAAGCCCGCCCCGGACAATTTCACCCCTTTACCCTGGAAGAGACCGCGGGGATTTCGCTCCCGAGGAGGCCCAGGGAGTGTCCGGCGGGTCGCCGCTCGGGAAGTGGGTGAACGACACTTTCGTGCCCCACACCCCTTTCTTGTTCCTCAGCCTTTCCTGCTAGCCCTTTCCCGGCGCGTTTTCCCCCCTCCCCGAAACCATAACTCGGCTTCCTCCTGCCTCGAGTGCTCACCTGAATCCCTCTCTCCAAACACCAACTCCAGCGCTTAGAGACAGTAACTAGGGAACCCGGGCTGTAGAGCTGCATTTTGGGACTAGTAGACCCAGTTACACGAACGCAGCGGAGAACTACGACTCCCAGAACACACTTCCATTTCTTCCATTTTCCTCAGTGAGGCCCCTCTCTACCCACCCCTTTTTAAAGACCCTCCTAGCCACGTCGACTGCATGGGGAGAGTCTTTTTTGAAATCATGTGTAAACTGTTTAAATCTACCATTTCGAGAGCATCCTGAAGGCTGATGAGAAATAAGCCCACGTTAGAGCAGAAAGGAGATTCACGAACCAGTCTGGCACTAGATTAGACAGTCGCTGTTATAGCAGTGAGCAGGCATTTGCAGTGGTCGCCTAAGGGGCGGGACTTCCGGCGGAGGCTCCGGGAAACCCCGTGGTCCGGCGCGGCGCTCTTCCTTTTCGATCCGCCATCTGCGGTGAGTGTCTGTACCGCGGCGCCTGTCTGGCCCGCGCCCTATCGGCTGCTCTGTTCTGTGTCCCCAGGTCTAACCCATCTCGTCTTTTCCCTCACCCTCAGGTGGGACCACCGCCAAGATGCAGATTTTCGTGAAAACCCTTACGGGGAAGACCATCACCCTCGAGGTACGGGCCAGATGTTGTGAGGAGGCCACGGCCTGGATGAGGTCCTGAGGTGGATTTCCGGACCGGCGTCGCTCTCCAAGCCCCTGAGACCATTATTCCGAATTTGAGCTCTGAAACCTGGCCCTGAATTCAGCATAGTTTGCTTAGCAAGGCTTTGTAGTGGGTTTTCGATACCCAAAGGGTGGGCCTGTCCCTTTCTAGTGGTTCCAGCCGGTTGTGCAGAGCAGGGGTCACGCGGTGGGGAGGGAGACTCTCCTGGCCTGCCGGGCGTGCACGTGTGGCCCTGCAGCCGCCTCCCGCCCTGCGCCGGAGAGAGGCCGTCCGCTCCCGGGTGGCAATCGTGGGAGCTGGCCTGCTGGCTGGCGATCAACTCTGTTAAGTAGACTTCAACCCTGCCACCCGGTTCTTTGGTTATTGTCAAGTTGGGTTAAATGAGTTTTTCGTTGTTCCTTATTGGGTGGTGTACTTACGTTTTAAAATTCACAGGTTGAACCCTCGGATACAATAGAAAATGTAAAGGCCAAGATCCAGGATAAGGAAGGCAAGTAATATTTTGACATAGTTCAGGAAAATTAAGCTGTAGAGACCCCAACCTTCTTGTAGGCGCTAAGCATATCTGCTCCTGGTGAGGGCAGAGGGATCAGATTGACAAAAGGAAAAACTTGGAATTACATAATAAACACGTTTATGAGCATGGAGCCAAGCCACTTAGATTGAATTACTTGAGATGCATTTCACTTAATGAATTTGAACAAGTTTTTAAGTTTTCTATACCTGTTTCCTCATCTTCAAAATGAAGGTTTCTATGTTAACATGTTGAGTGTTGTCATTAAGATTAAAAGTGGTAAAATATGTAAACATTTCAAACAATGGACTTGTGACAGGTGTAAGTGAATCACTTACTTGATTCAGAGGTATTACCTTGTAAATCTGCAGCACATAAAGTTTGTGCTGTAACTTAATTTCTTTTTCCTTTTTAAGGAATTCCTCCTGATCAGCAAAGACTGATCTTTGCTGGCAAGCAACTGGAAGACGGACGTACTCTGTCTGACTACAACATTCAAAAGGTCTGTATAGAGGAAAAAATCAGCCTTACAAATATATTTTATTTTGGAAATTTTGCCAGAAGTAGGAAGAATTGCATCATATTAGGAATAGATTCCCAGATGGCATCTGCACTAATGTTTGAGGAGCATTGATAGTTTCTCACAATATATGATTTTACAGGTTGTGTCTGATGGTATAAATGGGCACATTCTTTAATTTCCCTGTGAAGTGGTAGTTAGGAATCAGAAACTACTTTTGGGGTAGGGGAGTGGGACTCTCATAGGTGGTATTGTGTGCCACTGTTGCGTTTACTTATGAGATGCATGGTGTTGGTTTTCCCATTGATGGAGCATGAAAGCCTGCTCATTGTCTGTTCCATTAACAGGAATCTACTCTTCATCTTGTGTTGAGACTTCGTGGTGGTGCTAAGAAAAGGAAGAAGAAGTCTTATACGACTCCCAAGAAGAATAAGCATAAGAGAAAGAAGGTTAAGCTGGCTGTCCTGAAGTACTATAAGGTGAGTCAGTTGAATGTGATAGGCAGAAGATGAGCAAAGTCATGGTTTGTTTAGAAGCTTAATCTTCTGTATTTTTCCTGTTTGTTATTTGGAAGGGCTTGTTTTAAACTAGGGTTCTGAGTTTGAAGTCAGATCAGGGTTCAGGTCTTAACTTCATCTAACAGGTAGCTTTTAATGTACAAAAGTCCCAAGACTTACGAATTTGTTAGCATGATTACTGGTGTGAATTTATCACGCTTTGGTGTAAAAGCACTAAATTAGAACTATGTTTTATGTGGTTAAAAGCTTAAATATTTTGAATAACTTAAACTTCAGAATATGTTGTAAAATTACCTTACAGCAAGTTTGTACTTTTCAGGTGGATGAGAATGGCAAAATCAGTCGCCTTCGTCGAGAGTGTCCTTCAGATGAATGTGGTGCTGGAGTTTTTATGGCCAGCCACTTTGACAGACATTACTGTGGTAAATGTTGTCTGACTTATTGCTTCAACAAACCAGAAGAGAAGTAATTATGTATGAGCTAATAAAAGACATGAACTAACATTTAATTGTTGAATTTTATTGTAGTGATTTAAAGAATGGTTTTTGAGCTTCCAACTTGCAGGCACACCATTTGCCTCAGTGGTATCTCTAAGATGTGCTACTGCCATCATGTGAATGTTGCACTTCATAATAAGATATTAGGCTATCTATATTTTGATAGAAGAGTTTTATTTAATGTCAGCTGTGTAAATAAGCCTGCTTATATTTGTTTCTTGACCTGAGCACTAAAAACATTTTGGGCTGGTTAAATGCTGGCCATGGGGGCTGTCATAGCCATTTGAGAACTGATTTGTGTGGATAAGTGTTAGGACCTTTGGTTTAAAAGAGACTACAACATACTTCTGTTAAAGGTTGGATTCAAGTTGCCAATTGAAATGCATCCTGAGACCCTGGGTGGTTTCAGTAGAGTGTTCTGTCTGCATGCCTGTAATAGTACAGTGTGTGCTTAGCTGAGCATGAACTCTTGGGAATTTTTTTTTGCGGGGAGGTCTCATGCTGTCATCCAGGCTGGAGTGCAGTGGCACGATCATGGCTCACTACAGCCTCGACCTGTTGAGTTCAAGGAATCCTGCCTCAGCCTTCCAAATAGCTGAGACCACAGGCATGTACCACCACGCCTGATTTTTTTTTTGGTAGCGATGAGATCTCACTATGCTGCCCAGGCTGATCAAAAACTCTTGGCTCAAGCAATCCTCCCGCCTCCCAAAGTTCTGATAACACTCAACTAAAGCATACACTTGGGAGAAGTTTATTAAACTCTGATTACTACAATTAGTAATATACTTTTACCATATGGTAAAATTGTAATTTAACCATTAGAATTCTCTTTTGCCATATTGCTTGTGTTTCCAGGGTTTCTAGTTCAAGGCATCCTTAAATAAGGTTTCCTATTTGTGGCACTTTGGCATTGTGTTCTAGCATATTAATACTTGGTAGGACAACTTAGGTACTTTGTGGTAATAATACATTTCTATCTTCAATAAAGCAAAACATTTAGTGATTTACATTTTTAATATAATTTTAAAATCCTGGATCCCAAGAAGTCTTGGTTAGAACTTCCTTTTCTTCGTAACAAACAATTTCATCTCCCACTTTAAATTCTATCTTTTCTTCATCTAAACTGAGACCACAGTCCATTCCACTTCTAATGACTGAAACGTCATCTTTATGGTGTTTCAGTGAGGTTAATGAGCCTTTAAAAAAAAATTTAAGGTTAGCATATTCAACAAATAAGTACCCACTAAATGTGCAGTATGGTCTCACAAGGAAAACTACACTTAACACAGTCTCAAAAATTCTAGACTTGTCATATTAGATAATAGGTCTACATACCAAGGAAATCCCCTCAAAGTGAAGCTTGCTGTAAGCAAGGTTTGGCTTGTAACAAAAAATCCTAAATCTCCCATTTCAAAAGTAGAAATTTTTTGCAGAGGATGTAATTGTACCCAGAATGTGAATGGGAAAACCCAATATAAACATTTCAGGCAAAGGGAGCCCATCAGCTACAGACCAGTTAGGAGTTAAAATAGTAATAAAATGACCTGAACTGGGATTATGGGAATGAAAAATGAAAGGATTTCAGATGGTAACAATTGTGTTTTGGTAACTGGATATGCTATTATAAAAATAGATTTTGATGTTGCTTACCTTTCCAAATAACATGTCCTTTACGGATTAACTTAAATCTTTTTTGTTTTTCTAACTGTCCCTTTTGAACTCTGCAGCCAGCCACAGGGACTTTTTTCTTCCCCTCTGTTACAGAGAAGGTAGCTAGTATAGAGGCCTCACCTTTAGGAAGAAGAGAATATGCAGAATATGTAAAGACGCTGAGAAATACCTACTTTCTGACATGCAGTGCAAGAACTAAGTAGGAGAATCTTAACTCACACAGAAAAGAGGTCCGGGTTTCCTTGACTCCATCAACTTTACTTTCCTGATCGATATTAGGAATAAAAACATTAAAATCTTTGGCTACATAAATAATGTCTGCTCCATGAACATCATGTTTTCAGCTTTCCTCCAATATATTTTCTGGAGTAGATCACCTATCGTTACTTGATTTATTTTTAATCTTGCTACAGGTTAATTTATATCCCCTTAGGAGTACTAATTCCATGAATCTTTTTTCCAATAATTCCAATAATGAAGTAACACACTATAATGAACCAGTTTTCTAGGGTGTTGACTGATATGTTTGTTTACTCCTAGAAACCCTCGTATGACTTACAGTTTTCCAATTTGTATACATACAAATCTCTGTATGATCATGGTGAATGGGTCAGAAAATCCTAAAATAAATCTACGTGGACCAAAATACAAAACCAAATCTCATCAGGAAAACATCACACAAATCCAAATTAAGGTACATTCTTCAAAATAGCTG